ATTAATAGTTATCACGATTACCACGCCCATTTATTAATAGTTACCACTAATTAACTCAATATTTATTAAGTTTTTAGATCAATAATAATCATTGGAGCCATTATTTCAGCTGCAAATCCTGCAATAGCTTTGTCAGGTCAGCGGCACTGCAAGTTTGAATTCTTGTGGGAGACTGGGGGAGTCTGGTAGAAGGTGCCTGTTTGTCTAGTAGTTCTACTGATTTAAGTATTATGGCTTCTAGTTCTTCTACTGTTGGTGCAGAGTCACTATCCATGCTATCTCTAATAAGGGGGCGTGGCTTTGATATTGTATCGAAAACATATCGATATGTGTCGATATTGCATGTGTATCGAATCGTTATCGAATCGATCTGAAATTTTGAGTATCGCCCACCACTAGGAAGCAGCTGTATTGGAATTTGAAAAATGTAGCTACGTCACTAATGACGTTTATAATGATATTCATAGAGACATGGCCGATATTTCGGGTGTGTTGTTTCACTCTTAAAAAAGTCTTGTTCTTCCTGATAAGCAGTACAATAGCTCCTGGAGTCAGCTAGTCTCCATAAAGGCCATCATTATCAGAAGATCTCGCTCTATTAGCTTTTAAAAAGAAGAATTATCAGTTTGGGCGCTCGACCACATGTGCTTATGTAAACTATGACATCATAAAACGTCATTGCGGTTAGCTTTGGTATGCCATTAGGTTTATAGGGAGAACCCGGTTCTCAGGGTTCCCAAGGGTTGAGAGACCCAAGACCTGAGATCCTGAAGCGGCATTGGGCGACTAAGAACCTGTGAAAGTCTCATTCTTATCCCGCATTCCTATAAAAAGTTATTCCAGTTTTTCTTGGTCCAAACTCAGTTGGGACATAGTATACATGTCTAGTGTATGTAGCTGTGGCTGTTATTTGCCTCTATCAAAGCTTGTGGTTAACAGGAAAGCCCATACATATTATACTGTGCAGTACTATATATTCCACACAGTGCTACATTTTCCTACTGTGCGGTTATTGGAAGTTGTAGCACTGGCGGCGCCTTTGATCCGCCCACGCACCATACTACAAAAAGGTACATATAATCAGTGTATTGGGGGGGGGGAAGTAGCAAATGTATATTGCTGATTTACCAACCACAGAATGGTGATTATATATTTGTAAAACTCTATTTTTATTACATTTTAATTAATAGTATTAAGTTCACTTGCCTGCAGTAATATAAGGTACTTGATCATATGCTATTGTGAATAATATATTGTATAAGTGGGTTTTTGAAGGAATTATATTTCATAAAATTTACTAAAATTCTAATTTGCTGGTTTTAATTTTATGAATTCTATCACGTGCTATGTAGTACCATATTAAATTGATTTTTCCGTATTTTATTTTCGTAAATCAGGAAGGAATCCGTGAAATTTGCAACCCTTGAAAGAACCCATTTATACTATTGTCAATAAACATGTATCAGTACACATGTATATTGAATGAAAAGTAGCAAATTTATATTAATGATACCAAAACTCCAAAGTTAATTCCCTCCAATATCCCCCAGTTCATACTGTATATACTAGTATACACATGTACAGGAACATGGTTACAAAATACATGAAATAGTTACTAATTTTCCCAGAGGAAGTTCAAAGTGTATCAGATATCATCAGTATATAGTAGTCCCACACAATTCACTGGATTAATTATTCATTTGATGACTCTTCTTTGATGTGTTTTGTTATTTTGTGTGGTCAATTTGTATCAATATCACTATTTACAATAAATCATGATTATAGCTTTGATTTCAGAAATACATTCAAATTGATACTACATTTCCTGATACACGTACATACATGCACATACTGTACATACATACTGTGAGTGTGTGTCCATTAATGTACTTATATTGCAGTTTGAGTAATCAACCTCAATTTTACATATTGATGTCCTTATATGCTGTGTAGAAAGTTTGAGCTGATTCCGACTTCAATTTTTCAAGTTATGGACATTTTCTAGAATTAGCCAATTTTTGAAAGAATATCCAAGGCTATAACCCATGGTTTTTTTTTCAAAAAATGGCTCCGAAATCACCCCAAATTTTTATTACATTTTTTGATACATATTGATGTCCTTATGCTGTGTAGAAAGTTTGAGCTGATTCCAACTAAAAATTTTTGAGTTATGGCCAATTAAAAAAAATGAGCCAATGTCAGAAAAATAACATTATCAAAAAACCTCCTATTTTACATAATAATAATAATAATAATAATGATCATAATACTTCATTTATTTATTTATTCATTTATTTATTTATTTATTTATTTATTTATTTATTTATTTATTTATTTATTTATTTATTTATTTATTATATTTAGGTATGTGAAACAGTGTGAGCTGTTCTTTCATAAAAGACTGATATCCTATTCCTTATTTGGCAGTGAGTGCCTCCCCTAATGTCAGACTAGCTGTGGCTAGGACCCTCTACTCTACACTAGACAATACACGTAAGTATTGGAGTATATGTCATTAGTTTAGTATGGTAGTGTATTAGTGTATAATTGTAGTATAGTGTGTGTATATGAAGCTCCTTCATCTGGGGAGTTTTGAATTTTTTTCTTGATTTTTGTGTAACTTTAAAAATTCATAAAAAAATCCATTATTAGCCAGAATTGACTTAAACTTTCTACGCAATATAAGAACATGTATATGCATCAGGAAAAATTATAAAAGTAGAGAAATCTCTCCTTTTCATTTTTGACGAAATTTGGCTTGTGAGCCTGTACTATAGTACAGGGACTTTAACCCGATTTTGGAGTAACTTTAAAAATTCGTAAAAAATCCAAATTTGATCAAAATTGGCTCAAACTTTCTACGCAACATAAGAACATGTATAGTCAGTTTCAGCCTGAGAAGAAACCACCACCACCCCTTATAACTTTTTTGTTACTAATGCTAGCAACTTGAAATTTGGTATACCTGCATAACGGGTTCTTCCAAAAATCCTTACCAATTTTTGAGTTTCTAGGTACTCTGGAAGGTTCTAAACGGGTTCTTCCGCTTGAGATGAAAGGAGCCGCCATGACGAATGTGTGCGTCACTCCAATGAATATCATTTGCATCTTATTACATTTAGTCAAAAAAAATGTTTTTTATTTTAAAAATAAAACAAAACATATCAAGCTCTCTAGACCTACTAATATTCAACTAGGAGCTTTCTCTTGAGGATAATTCTTGCTATATCACTCCACAGCCTTCTCAATCTTAGTTGTTCTTCATTGCCAGTACACTCGTTGATTCACCCGTATTCCGAACTCTAAACCAGCTAAAAACAGGCACCAAAAACAAGAAAAGGATAGATGGAGGTAGCAGCAACCACTGTAGAGGTACAATAGATAGTAAAGAAGTTAAAAGAGAAGAAACGCTCAAAGGATGATAGAGCTTACAGATTGCAGCCATGTTTGGGCGGAGCTACACGTGACGTTTCAATGACGAAAATATTGATTTACTTCCGTTTCTTCTCAA